AAATAATATTTAATGATTAAGCATATTTAACATAAATTCTTATGAACGGTATCCCTTAGATAAAATAAATAAACCCGTATTAGGGAGCCCTTAGAGCTCCCTAATCCTGGCTCCAGTATACCTGTCCAGGATTAAATAATCCATAAAATACTACTGGGTCTGACCCGCCGGGGCTAGCCCCAATTGGGCCCCCTTTTTTAGGGCCCAATTATAGCTGAAAACCCGTATATTTATTTTTTATTTAAGATCGGCCCCGCGCTTTGCGCGGGCCGGAATTTTTGATTAATTTAGTGTAAATCAATTGCATCTTTTAAGTAAGAACATGTTAAAATCGTAAATACGTAACTTTGAAGAACAGCAATACCAAATTCTAAACCAGTTAATGCTGTTAAGAATAGTAATGGTAAAATACTTACTAGAAGTAGTAATGGTCCCGCAATTACCATTTTCGCAGTAAATGTAGAAATAATTTTTAATAGAGAATGTCCTGCAATCATATTAGCACCTAATCGAACACCTAAAGAAACAGCTCGAGCTAAGTAAGAAATTAACTCAATAGCTACTAGTAAGAATACTAGGGCTAAAGGAGTACCAGCTGGAATAAAGAAAGCAAAGAATCCTAATCCATGTCGTTGGAATCCAATATTAGTTACTCCAATAAGGATAGCTGTTGCTAAACCAATTGTTAAAATTAGGTGAGAAGTTGTAGTGAAAGAATAAGGTACTAAACCGATAAGATTACTAACTAAAAACAAAATTGAATAAAGTAAAGATAAGTGGTACATAAACTTCGTTTTTTGGTCCAATTTGTTCTCGAACTAGATTTAAAATAGATCCATATACCGATTCAGAATGAATAGCCCATCGAGAAGGAATAACATAACCGTTATTTCGAGATAAAACATTCATACCGATAGTAACAGTTACTACCATAATTAAATAGAATCCGATGTTAGTTAAAGATAATTTAGTAAATCCAAAAATTGGAGCTAAAATGAAAACAAAATCATTAATTTCAAATTGCTCTAGTGGGTTATTAACTAAGAAAGTTGTAGCTAAAGTTGACATTTTTATTTATTTAATTAGTGCTTTTTTATCAAATCGGTACCTCCAGTTCTCAAATACCCCTTACAGCGGTTAATTTTACTTGTTGTCCCCTTAAT